TCATCTGCTGTTGAATGTCAGGTCTTCATAAGGCTGAAAGCTGGGACCACATCTGCTTTCTCTCCCAGCCCTGTTCGTGAGCCAGTGCTCTTAATGCTGTAAAACATGCCCTGATTCCCATTTCTCTGTAACACAGCACGTGGAGGCAGGACCACGCAGCATCCTTTACCTTTGCTCTTGCTCAAGAGCATCCCCCTAGGGAATCTGTATTTACTTTGTAGCTTTGCAGATGCTTGAAGCCTGGGAAATGTTTCCCAGTTCTGAAATTTTTGGCAGCAGGATTTGTTTCTCTTTTCTCCCAGTCTGGCGGGGAAACTCCCTCTTTTTGGGCAATAACATAAATGGCTTTTGCCTGTTGTTTACAGCTGATGGGATCTGGTTCTTGGGAAGTGAAACACATCACGAGTTGCTGTGGTGTGGCTAAGTGAGAAAGATGCCGGCTTCCTGCACACCAAGCCCTGACCCGTGCCTCCCACCTTTGCCCTGTGGCAGCGGTGGCAGGTGCAGCTCTGCCTAAAGCCAGTGTTTAAACCAGCTGGGGCGGAGGGAGAGAGCAGGGGAGAGGAGAAATAACTGCCCTTGGCCCCTCAGCCCCTCTCCCAGCTGGGTTTCATCCCTGAAGGCACAGAGCACCACAGCCAAGGAATTCCTTCATCTAAGAGAAAGCCCAGGCGTGAATCCATGTGAAGCTCAGAATAAGAGAAAATAATCTGCCTCCCACATGCTCGCAGCCCGATGGCCTCTCTTCCAGTGTCTCCTTGCTGTCACAGCAGCAGGGGACACAGTGACTCCCCTGCAGCCAGGGCGAGTACACCACTTTGGGGAAGGAGAGTGGTTGAGAGCTGGGCAGCAGCCAGGGAGCAGGCGCTAAAGGATGGTGGATGGAGCTGGAAGGAGAAGGCAGGATGTCATGTACTGCCTCTCACTTGGCCCTGGGCCTGGTCCCTGTCCCGGGGCTGGTTGAGGAACAGCAGCTTCCTCCACTCTTCTCTGCCTGAGACCTGGAGCTGCCGCACCCCTGCCCCTTCCCCGGGCCTCTCCTGCTGGCTTTCTCCTGCTGCAGGCATCTGGTCTTCTGAGTGTGAAGGACTATTTGGGAGAGTCTGATGCCTGAGGCCTCTCAGATAGCTACAGTCACTTTAAAATGCAAACCAGACAAAATCTGCCTGAGTTTGCCAAAGGCTGAAGCATCCCATTTGTTTCAGGAGATGCTAATGCTGGTGCTCTTGCTGCTGAGCAAATTTGCCATCCTGCATGCTGCAGAGAGCAGTGAGGAGCCCAGGAGCTGGGGGATGGAGAGCTGCAGGTGGAGCAGCGGGATTTCATTCATCTGGGGGAGGAGGTGCGTCACGGTGATGTGACTTTCATGCAGGCTAAGGAGTGAATGCAGGTGGAGCGCCTTTCTCTTTAATAAATAGCTAAACCACTCATGCCTTTACTTGAAATCGTAGCTGTGTTTGATGAGCCAGCGCAGCGCAACCTCCCGTGGGCAGCCGGATTTCCCAGGGCTGGGTGCAGCCAAGGGCAAGTGATCACTGGGGCAGGGCATGTCTGCACGCTCCAGGGCTTTGTGCTGGGAGCAGCAGGAAGAACTGGCAGGGAGAGAGGGGACTGGCACCCACAGCAGCATCCAAACAAGTGGGGAATGTGGCTCAGCGCTGCTTGGAGCCGTGGGCTGAACTGTGGGACCAGGGCAGGCAAAATCCCTGCTGGGCCCTGCACCTTCTCCACCAGCATGTGGGAGCACGCTGGAGAAGTGCCACCCGCCTGCCTGTCTCCTCCAGGCTAGAGCCGTCCCCTCAGGCTCTTTGCCCAGCCCAGGCTGTGGGATGTAATTGCTCGTTTGGGAAAATTTTGGAGAATCTGAGCTGTGACTGCGCACAGCGTCTGCTGCCCTTTGAGGTCAGGTTGGAGCCCAGGCCGTGCCACCCCAGCATACGTGTCTGAGCACCATTGACAAGGGTTTATTACACAACCAACCCTCTCATGTAGCTGCCATAAGGAAATTCCCCAGCATAGCAATAGTGGAAAAACATGTAGTTATAATACTGTAGTGTAATTCAGCTGGTCAAATAAATAACAACCCATGTGGGAACCGAGGGTGATTTTTATTCCGTAATCTTTCTAAAGCAGGATTGTTATTTGAGGCTTCTATTTTTAAGTACTTTTCTCAAGCATCTCCCATGAATTTTTCATTCCTTCTGAGTGCTGCAGTTCAGTTCCTCCTCCAGCAAAACCCTCCATCTTTTCCCCACAGCTCCTGGGGTCAGCCTACCTGATGACTAAATCTTTCAAAGCCTGACCCTGATTCTTATTAGTCATTTCTCAAAAAAATGCAGTATTTTTCCCTAGCAGTGTTGGTTTTGGGTAGGTCTTGTCCTGGTTTGAGACCTCTTGTGCTAAAGGCTTTAAGGCACAGCTTATAGTTTAAAGATGTACTGCCCTTAGGACCTGGTGTCACTCAAGCAATGGCTCTGTCCTAGCAGGATGTGATCCATGGAGGAGGATCAGATCATTAATATTAACTGCCTGCTTCTGCCTGGGTTGATGGAATAGTTGAACATGCTCCTGGCAGCTGCGTTGCCTTGGGTCAGGAAAGCCAGGAATGCACAACTGCGGATGTGTCCTACCTGGTGTGAGACCCCTAAACTTGAGAAATCAAGCAGGAACCGGGATCCCAGGAGCATTACACCTGCCTCTACAGGCAGCTCCTGCCTCTCGTCCCCATCCATGCAGGTGCTGTGTGGACAGACACCAACCCTCCTCACTGGGGTTCAACTCTGTGTAATAGTGAAAGGGTTGGAAATTCGTAAACACATGGAAAAAACAACTTTCTTTGCCCACATGGTTTTTATACACCACGGAGCCTGCCTAGCACATACAACACCCACGCCTGGGTCTGCCTCAGGGACTTAATGCCTAAACAAACTCTGCTGCTTGATGACTCCATTCAGTTTAAATTTGTGCCAGTTGCTGGTGCAAATTGTCCAGGGCTTCCTGCCAATGCTTAAATAATGCTGAGGAGAAAGTCTGTCTGGCTAGCAGGAGAAGTCCTGACTTGTCTGCAGGTGGTACCAAGCTCGTGTATATTCCTGCTTCTCGGTGAGGTGTGCTGGCTGCCTTGGGAGGGGGAGAAGGTGCATGAAGGAAAAAGATCTCGCTCCTGAAGAGCCTATGGGCTGGATCCTCATCTGGTAAAAACTGGAGCAACTCCATGGAGAGTGTGATGTGTTGGTGAGGGGTCTGGCTGCCTGCCCTAGCCCCAGGCTCCTGGGAGAGCTGGGGAAGGGGCTGCTGGAGAAAGTCTCATCTCTGCTGCAGAGCTGGTCTGGCCCTTACATCACCCCAGTCCGTGGGCACCAAGGCCTTTTCCGCTGTGGGTTTGGTCCCTGTCAGCTATGGAGGGGAGAGGGAGCAGTGTTTGGGATGTGGCTTTGTCATCAACTGCTTATGCTGGGCATTATGGTGTTTATAATACTCTGCTGAGCTCCAGGGAGATGTGAGAAGGGTTGGACGCAGTTCGGCGGCAGCAAAAGCTGGGGTCCAGGGTGAACACCCTTACTACAGTGTTTGAATCTACATGGCTGCCGCATGTCCTGCTGTCCCCATTCCCAGCCTGTCGGAGGCGTTCCCTGCCGGGCTACGGAGCTCCACGCTGGGCTGTGCTGGGACTTGTTCTGTAGCTGCCCTGACGCCAGGGTGGTGGTGACCAGCTGCGGGTACCTCTCCCTTGAAATCAAGTGTTTGGGGTTTTCAAAGGCTCTCTGCACATTCAGATGTGCCGGGGCTGAGCCAGTGCATCGGGATGAGCGGTACGGTGTCTTTGGGTTTGCAGCATCAGGGCAGAAGAGGAGATTGAGGCAAATGTAAAGAATTTGCAGATCTCCGTGCCGGGAGGGAGATTGTGTGCTTGAAGGTTCTTTCTGGCTCTGAGCTCTGCCCTGCCAGGTTGGGGGCAGTGCAGGGGTCTGGAGCCAGGCGGGATGCAGTGCAACTGCTCTGGGCAGGCACAGGAAGAGCTCAGACCTTAATGAGTATGGCAGGAGCAAAACCTCCCGTCCAGGGCTGATCCTGGTGGGAAAACTGCCCTGGTGTGACTCCGCACTGACCATTTGCTGACATTATCAGAAATGGTGTAATCCTCCCTTTTGCAGGGGCAGAGGTGGGGGCTGGCCTGGGACGTCCATCGGCCTCTGGTCGGGGCTGGTGGGATGCTGCTGCCCAGATGGAGAGGTGACTGTTTTCCTTCTTAGTCTGCTCCCCCAGCAGGAGCCAACCTTCTGGGTCTGTCCATATAACCTGACTCGTGCTGGTATCAGCAGTAGCTCTGTATCGCCTGGGCTCAGGGCCAATGTGCCCAGAGCACACGGCTGCCCTAAATTCACACCAGCCCCCCAGGCAAAAGGCTCCTGTAGCCTGTTCCCCCCAGGGAGAGGGGTGCCACCAGCATCCCTTTGCTGGGGACAAACCTGTCCTTGTGCAACAGGGTCTGTTGTGATGGGACTGGAGCCTGGTCCTGGGCTGACTGCGATGCTCGTGTCTGGTTACTCTGGATTCTTTTGGAAAGGAGGGGATTAGATTAGCTAAATGGACACTACAAATTTTTTAAAAGCCCTGAAGAACAAAACCAGTTCTAGAGAGACTAATGTTTCAATAGATGGTTTTATAAATTGCAAACTGTCACACTCCATTCATTATTTTTGGGGACTTTTTTGTGGCTCAAAACAAACTTTTTTATTTTAATATGTCAGTGAATTAAAAAACTACTCACATCCTCAAAGTGTTTATTTTCCACTCAATCTCCAGTGGTTTCCATTTGCCTAAGGGTTTTTTTTTTTTTTTTTTTTTTCTGTGTACAGGAACCAAACCCCAAATCCAGCCCTTCAACACTAATAAACTTGGAGAGATATCAGCCCCCACGCTGCCGGCTTGCTGGAGGTTTGCTGCTGCCAGCACTGGGGCCAGAGCTGGGGAAGGAGTTAAAGGTTTGCATTGGAAGAGCAGCCCAGCTGCCTGCGGAGGCTTAGATCCCGCTCTTTCTTCACCACTGTTTGATGGCTGGGGAAAAGCCAGCTCCAAATTCAAAAGCTACTTTCTAGACCGAGGACAAAGTTACACCCGACTGCCCTGATTCACCCTCTCAGAGAAAACCAGGACGAGCCATCTTTGGGGCCGGGCAGGCTGGTGTTTATTTCTATTTGCAGGTTTGGGGCTTTGCGGTTCCACGACCTGCCTGGTTGTGCTTCCAGACTGGTCACTCTGGGAGCTCCACTCCCAGGGGTGCAGGGGCAGCCCAGGCCCCCGGGTGATGGGCACTGGTGGGCCAAAGGACAGCTCTGTCCCCTGCGCCCCATCCCTCAGCAGGTGGTTGTGTAGAGGAGGGCTGGCTGCCTCTGCCAGGAGAGAGCTCAGCCCACACTGGGCGGGACTGGGGAGTACTGGGAGCGGTGCCACGGAGGGGTGGGCTGTGGGATCGGGGACGGAGGGAGTGCAGGAGCACAGGGCTGGATGCAGCTGAGGTAGGTGCCTACCTTCTTCCTAACTCCTTCTTCTCAGGGCTGATCAGGCCGTGTCCGTGGGTGAGCAGTGCCCAGCTGGGCGAGGGATGCTTCGTGCAGCTCCATCCCTCTGGGCACAAACAGGAGGGAAGGTGGGATGGGGGGGGTCGTGGTGGGCTGTTTTACGAAGGCAAGAAGTCGAGCTGTGGCCCGGCTGAGCCTTGCTGTGGCCCACACGGTCGAGGGGACTGTATCCCAGCGTGGGGCATCGCATCCCCACGGAGCCGGTGGCAGCAGGGTGTGAGAAGCAGAAGCAGCCCGTTCCGCGTCCCCGTCTGGGGTTCGCTCACCGGCAGCTCTGCTGCGGCAGCGTGAAGGGTGTACAGGGGCTGTGGGCATTCGCCAAAGAAACAGCGGTGACTTGGGATGTGTTTAAATGTGTCTGCTCCTGCCCCCTCTCCCGCAGAGCCCTCTCACAGCCCAAGCAAGATCACCGCTGGCTGCGAGTGCTGCAGGCGACCGAGCGGCACCTTCCCCAAAAATGATGGAAAACCAAGTGTTTATGTCATTTACGTTCTACAGCACAATCTTGATTTTAAAAATGTACGTTGTTGCCATCATTACGGGACAAGTGAGACTCAGAAAGAAGGTGAGATTGAGTTTCCTTTTCCTTCTCTCTTTCTAGCTTTTTCCTTGGGTTTCTGTGGTTTCTATTTCTTCTTTTATTCCTGTAAAGGCCAACAAAGTTTTCCTGAAGCAAGCTGAGTTTTCTTTGACTTAAGTTGAAAGCAAAATATGTTTCATAGCTGCAGCAGATAAGTATCTCACTTCTCTTTGGCTCTTTCTGTTTGTTTCTACCATCTGTAGCTTGATGTTTATAATTTCTGAATTCTAATCTAAATAGTAATTTTAGATCTAAAACGGCATGCAGGTGAACTGCTTCTGAAAAGGAACTGTTTACAGTTAATTTGCTGTGTCTGGAAGAAAAGGGGGGGGGGAGGGTTTAAGAAGAAATCATTGCAATGTTCTTTTTTCTTGCAATGTAGCAGAAAGCTTTTGAGCTTTCAGTCTGAATGGCTATGTGAATGCTCCAGGAGAGCAGAAAGTCTTGGGAAATAGTTCTTGGATGCAGGGGAAAATACAGGGAGGACCAGGAGCTCTAGCTGCTGTCAGGAGACAGGGTTAACTGGAACTTTTATCACCCACAACCCAAACTGAACTTGTGAGAAAACTCAGCTGCCTGTAAAATCTCTTTTTAAAGTATTTGAGGAGTTTCTGAACTGCATCAGTGGATCAGGAGGGAGAGATTTCTTCAGATAAAATACAAAGAGATATCCCTGTGCTGTAGCATCGTTGTAAATGATGATTTGGCTTTTCCCCTTGTGTTTCTAAATGATGCTCCAGCCCTGGGACAGTCTGGGCTTGTACCATGATTAAAGAAAGCACCAGGGTCCTTTCCAGGCTGCAAAGTGCAGCTGTTGCATGTAACCAGGTCCCTGAAGAACAGCTTCTGAGCATAGGTGGGGAGCTCCTATAAATCATTTTTATTTGTAAGTTTATTAGCATAGGATCCGATTTCCCTGGGGCTGGTTTCAGTCACATAGTATCACTGTCAAAAAGCCAGCCAGGGAATATTCTTTCTCGGTAGGGTGAACTAATCTGTCAGTCCCGGTTATCTTTTGGATGCCACACTCCGTGTCTGCAAGCTCTGTGCCAGCAGTGAACTTATTTGGTGATCGGCAAAGTCTCATTTCAATGGGTTTCACGGGGAGAGGTGAACTGGGATCAGGCCAGAGCTTCGCTGAAGCCCCCAGTTTGGAACCTGCACAACGATTGACGTTGGGTCTTGCAGAATATAAGGAAAACCTGTCAGGAGGTGCAGGGTTTAACCCCCAGGACCATGCACATGAGTTGCTCTTGTGTTTGTGAAGGCTGGTGAGAAACTGGGGGAGGAGGGAATCCCCAGAGGTCTTAAAGATTAAAGGCAAAGCTTCTACCTGTGAAGTTCCTGAAAACATCATAAGAATGTATATTAAGGGGACTCTCTCTTGCAGGCGTTTGCAAACCCCGAGGATGCGCTGCGCAATGGGGGGCTGCAGTACTACCGCGAGGACCCCGACGTGGAGCGGTGCCGCAGGTGAGTACACGGCGGTGCTGGCATGTCCCCTGCACCGCAGGGTGAGCCCTGGCAGCTGCTGGCAAAGAAGCAGTGGGAAGCTAAAGGGCTCATTAATTAAGTAATTACCTAAGTGAGTTGAATGCCTGGAGCTGGGCTGTGGGACCCTGCAGGCTAGAGCAGTTTAATCTTTAATGGGAGCATGGTGTGTGCTGGAGCAAGGACACGTGGAGGGACCCACGTTTGGCTACAACAGCCCAATCTGACACAATTAAACTCAATTCCTAGATGCTCAAAGTCCCACAAGCCCCCGAGGGCTTGTCCCATACCCACATGCAAAGGCTCCTCATGGCCTGCTCTGACAGGACCCCAAATCCCCCCAGATCCCCCTGCACAGGGAACTGTGTGACTGGTCCCAGTGCTGGATGTGCCTGCCCTTTTTGGGGATTTGGGGAGAGGTTAGACAGGATTGCAGTAACTTCTGCCTCCCTAATTGGGCAAACTCTGAATCCTCACTGTCTTCTGTGGGGCTCACAGTTCCTCGGAGGTTAGACATGGGGTTATTCAGCCCTAGGCTTGGCTTGCTGCTCCCCTTACGCAGAAGGACGTGCCCCGAGTGTTGGGCTGGATCACTGGTGACGTGTAGGAAAGGGGCTGGAGCCGTGCCCTGCTGTGGGTGGAGGACCACAACGCTCACCTCTCACAGCCTGCAAGATTTTCTTTAAAAAACTAATCTCTGGGCTTCCAGAGGGAGGAGTATGGCAAACAAACCGTTTCCTTGCTAGGATAAAGAAAATAATAGTAGTAATAATAATCATAATCTTCTTTTGATTAGTCAGAAAACACAAACTTCCATAAAAATAAATAACCAGAGCTGCATCAAAGACCTGGGGAAGTCTGGGCTCCAACTGTGCAGTTAAAGCATTCGGAGTCAGTCCTTGCTGATCTGTTCACAGCACTGGGGAAGACAGATTAAACCCAAGGTGTTTCCCCTGAACAAGGGTGATGTTGGGTTGTCTTCTTGGGTGTTATTGGGAGGGGAGCAGAGCCATGACTGGGCTGCTGGGGTCTGTGCAAGGCAGGGGCAGAGCAGGGGAGAGCAAGTGGCAGTTGGGAGGGAGGTTTTCCCCTTGCCTCCTAGAGAGGCCCCCGGCTGCTCTCAGTTCTTTTCTTCCCTTTCTCTCGCCGTTATTCCATTCCCCTGTTGAACCTCTGAGTCCTCGGGGGCCTGTTCATAGGGAGCTGCCACGGGGTGAGGCGGTGGGTGTCCGGCAGCTGCCCCTCTCCCAGCACAGCTGACACCAAAGCAAAGCATGTTCATCCCCACAGTCCTGGCTGGGCTGTGGGAGGGATTCATGGTGGTACCTGCAGAGGTGATCCTGGCTTGGGAAGGCAAGTGGGACGGACCCTGGGCTGGAAAGGGAAGGGACTGTGGGTGGGAGAGCCTGTCCTTGTGTCTGGGAAGGGGCTGGCTCGGCCCAGGGACCGTCTGGCCAGAAGGATCAGAGAGCTTCCCACAGCTCCCCTCCATGCTCCCGGCTTTGGCAGGGAATATGTCTCCTCTGTGTCCAGGCTCTGATCAGCTCATCCCCACCGAGTCCTCCTGGCACCACTGCTACAACAGCAGGACTCATTTTAGTGTCATTTCTACGCCAATTCCTCCATGCTGTCCCAAAATCACACCCAGAGAGCAGCTGAAATAAGGTTTCCAGCAGGATTCTGGCCATGTTCTTCCCCCATTTTCTTGGGTACGTGGCCCTTAAGCTAGGGACTGCTCCCCATGGAGGTGGAAAGAGCAGGTAAGAGAAAGCTCCTTGCTCTCCTGCCAGTTATGGGGATAATAGGGTGCTGAAACCCCCTTTTCTGGGTACAACAGGCTGTGCATCTCCATGCTTCAGCAGAGCTGGGGTTGGAAATGACTTAGGTGCAATATTCACCTGAAGGTGCCGTGGCCCTGCTGAGCCGGTGCGTGGCCTGGGCTGTGGTGTGGGAAGGGGGCAGTGAGGGACACTGGCAGGGGCTGACGTGATGTGGTGATGGAAAGCAGCTGCTGGACCCAGAGCCTCTGCTCATGTCCCCATCCCCAGGCATCCCAGCAAGGGGAAGTAGGTCGGGGACTGGAGCCCTCCCCCACAGTTCCTGCTCCATTGCTCAGAGACTGATCCTGTCTGGGGACAGTCACCCTCCAAAAAAACAGGGCACTTGGTGTTGAAAATTTTCAATGGAGAAGCCTTTGGCAACCCTTGGCCTGAAGAAATCAGTGTTTGGTGAGGCAGTTGTTGAGGCAAACATTGGGACATCTGCACCATAGACTTGACTCCAGGAACAGAAGAGGGGGCTTAAAACACAGCTCACTTTCTTTTCCGAAGTCACGTTTCAGCCAGGTCTACCCCAGCCTGTGTCTGCACTAATGAGCTGTGACTGGCTGCCCCAAAACTTCCCAGCCACTTCTCATCTTGCACAGAAGAGCAGCACAGGCATCTTGGCCTTTGCTTCAGGGAAAAAATCACTTACAGTTTTCTCTGGGCTTTGTGAACTTTTAAACATCCCGGAACTCAGAAATGGGAAAGCAAGGGTGGTTGTTATTAAGGCTTCATCTCTACCTCTCAAACCTTCAGAGATAGCAGAGAAAAGGCAACTGAGCCTCATGCCTGGGTCATTCTCTACCCTAGATCCATCCCTACCGACCAGGGCATGACCCGAGAGTCCCGCCATCAAAGCACGGGGACAGGGCTCTGCTGCAGAAAGCAGCTCTTGCATCGCAGGGGAATGAAAGAAGGAGAGGGGGAGGCGGTGGGAGGGCTAGGACAACCTCGCTGCTTTGGGGACCATTTTCCCTCCCATCAGAGGGTGGAGGGACACGGCCTATGCCTATGGCATGATCAGACCCTGTTTCGGTAGCAGTGCGGTGTGGGTGGTGGCAGGTGATGTTGTGACACCCAGGCAGGTGCAGGGTTTGGGCCAACACAACCACAGCAGCCCCTCCAGCCTGACTGCAGTTAAACAGGTGCTGCTGGCACAGCGCAGGGTGCAGGGGTTGCTCAGGGTGCTCCTCCCCAGCCCCCTTTGCATGTACTTACAGAGAGGGGTGAAGCCACGAACCCTCCCATCCTGGGAATTGCTCCTCTGGAAAAACTGCAGTCAGGAACCGCCTCATTATTGTGTAACGTTGCCGCATCTGGGGCCGTGCCATGCTGACACCCCACCAGCTTTGAGCTTTTCGCAGCTTCGCGGGGTCTTTGCTTTGTTTTGCTTTGTTTATTTAAAAGCTCTAACCCTCTAGCTGTCATCTATCACGGTAAAGGCATCCCAGCCACAGAGGGCAAGTTTTGGGAGCACGGCATCCTGAGAGAGAGACACCATCGGCAAAATCCTGCTGTCTGTGTGTGTAGGGGGGATCTGACTCTTTTGGGGGCTGCATCTGCCCCACCTAACAGAGGAGAGGGCAAGCAGCACCCAGGGGTGGGCACTCTGGCTAGAGGGATAGGAGACAGCCTGGTGGGAAGGAGCAACCTTATCTCCTTTTTCAGGGCCCACCGCAACGATATGGAGAACATCTTTCCCTTCCTCTTCCTCGGAGCCATTTACTCCCTGCTGGATCCCAGTCCCGCAGTGGCCAGGATCCACTTCTTCATCTTCTGTACGGGACGCATCGTCCACACCATCGCTTACCTCCTGCAGCTGAAGGCGCCCACGCGCTCCGTGGCCTACGGCGTGGCACAGCTGCCCTGCTTCTCCATGGCTCTGCAGATCCTCCTTGCCGCCACCCCGTATTGGTAACGCCTGGCAAGACCGAGCAGCCAAACCCCCTCATCCTGATCTCTGCTGTTTCCCTGGCTGGACCAGGTGGTGCGTGTGCAAGTGTGAGTGTGTGCGTGTGGGCAAGTGGTATGTTGCCAGGGAGGCCACCTGTGCCCCAAGGATGCTCAGTGCAGCCTTGAGAAAGTCCTTGTGCTATTGAAATAGGGCAGGGAAGACATCAGAGAGAAGGGGCACGTCTCCCTGTGGAGTGGGAAGGGGGCGTGGAGGCAGGTTTCTCTTGCTCCTGCTAAGGGTGGGACAGGGAAAGCACCCAGACTAACCACCAAGGAGGGGGTTTGTTGAAGGAAAGATGGTTTTCTGGCCCAACCGCATTTGGAATTGGGAAGGGGAAGATGTGCCCTTTCCCCTTGCTCATGAATACCTTGTGAATCAGGAAGGGAAAATCATGAGGGTCCCATGAGGTCTCTTGGTCAGCAGATGTAGGTGATAGCAGAAGATAAAGCAGCCGCCCTCCTCCTGCCCAGCCGTGTGGGTCTGTGGGGAAGGGGTTCCCTTAGGTTCCCTCTCCCCTAAGGAGGACAGGAGGCAGGTGCCTGCCAGGCAGCGTAACGTGGAAGTCAAAATCTCAGGGGTGACGTGAAGCCACTGAAGCGTTCAGCTTGTCTCACGCCACGGGACACAGGTCCCTGCCAAGGAGCGTCACTGCAGGCAGGAGCCTGCCTGTCCCAGCAAGGACACCCCATGGCTGGCGTTTGGCAGCTCCCAGCCAGCAGCAGCCGTGGCTTTTCCATCTCCATCTCACCGTGGCAAGACACAGAGGGAGGTGCCCGGAGAAGCTGACAGGAATCGCTTACCCTGTAGAGAGCCGGACAGAAAGCTCTGGGACTTCTGGAAAGACTGAGATGCTCACACAAAACAGGGGGCTCGCAGTGTGCAGACAGAGCTTTCTCCCAAGCGTGGTATCTGCGTTCACATGCTGCTGATGCCTGAAAACATGGCATCATGATGCCCAGGGCCACAGACTGAATTTCTCCCCCTCTGTTTGTGGCCTTTCTCTGGCCAAAGAACGGCCGTTGCTATTCGGGGAATGTGCCGTGACCGCTTTGGGGGTGTTTTCTTTCAGCTGTTTCCTGCTGTCCACTGCTGCCGAGCCAGGCGCAGGCTGGATTAGTTGGTGTTTGCAGAAAGCTCTGGAAATGAGCAGACTGGCTTTGAGGCACCCTGTGGCAGAATACCCCTGCTCTGCGGTGTCGCCTGAAGGGTGTCATGTTGGAGAGGAGAGACTGGGGCCAGCATACCACAGGGTGACAAACCTTCCCCGAGCTCCTCTGCCATGCCGCTGCGTCCAAGTGCCAAGGGCTGCTCGCGGCAATGGCATCACGCAGTGGAGCACCCCACTGGTGGAGAGGAGAAAGCCTCTTCTCAGTGCCTCCTCCCTCCTCTGAGGGCAACGCAGAGTTTTACTCAGATCACAGCAGGAAACCAGAATGAACAGAAAATAAATTCCCCTTCCACCTGTCCTAAGCACTAAAGCTCTTCCCTTAACCCCTCTGTCCTCAGAGATGCTCTTACAGAGACCTCCCTGAGCGCCTGCCTGCACAAAGCACAGGGTCAAACACCAGACTGATGCTCTGAGCTCTTGCCCAGCTTGGGCAGCAGCTTCTGTGCCAGTAAGTCCTGCCCCAGCGCAGACGTGGCCTTAGGCCAAGCTGTTTGGTGAGGTTTGGCACAGAGCACTCTGCTCTCCGCGGGGGACACAGGGCCCTCCACATGTGGAAGGTGGGCAGGACTGCAGGTTCAGCAGTTTGCTCTTGGCCACTTCTCATTTACACAGCCTCAACAGATGTCTGGGTAATACATACCCCTCTTAACAAGCCTTTTCTGCCTCACATGGTGCACAAGGTCTCGAACCCCTATACATTTCTCTGCTGCTGCACATGCATCCTGGTGGCAGGAAGCAAATATTCCCAATAAAAACAAATCATTGTGCGCTGATACATCCTTCCTTCGGGAGCAGCAGATGCAGCTGGGTAGCAGCTGGGTCCAGCCCAGCAGGATGGCTCCCCAGCTGCAAAGCGCTTTGCTAAACCCCGCTGCAGAACCCAGAGTGCCCCGGGACTCCTAAAGAGACATCCCTTTGCTCTGGACTCACCTGCCCTGCAGAAGAAGCGCTTTTCCAGGTGTGCATTATTTGTGCTGATCCTTTACAGTCAGCAGAGCTGGGGCTTGCAAAGCAGCCTTACTCAGTTTTCTTGGAGTAGCAGGTTGCTAGGTGTTCACCCAAACCTCTATTCCATCTTCCCCCAAAGCAAGCTACTTGTCTGAGGGGCTTTGTCGCAGCAAACTCACTTCACACCCTGCCTGTGCTCAGCTGGGTGCTTCTTGCCTGCAGAGCCATGCTGGCGCTTAAATCCTGGAGGGCTGGAGAAGTTCAGATAAGATGTGATTTTTCTCATTTCTGTGATAATGATGCAGAGGAGCTGCCTGTATTTTTCAAGCTCAGCAGCCCCCTCTTTTTGCTAGGAGCTTGCTGGGAAGCAAACACCCCAATTCCCTGGATTTCCCCTATTTTCTTAAACTGTTGGTGTTTGAGAGGTGCTGCCCCACCAGTGTCTGCATTAGCTGTTTGAAATAGACAAAATGGCTCCACTTGGTAAGTTTTTTTCCTTCATGCTTTTTGCTTTCAAATAAGAAAGGCAACAGCTTTGTAAAATGGATTCTCTCCAATACATGTTGCTGTGGTTAGAGATGTAGCTGGGACTGAGATTTTTGGCATGGAAAGGAAGAAATGGGGCTGCAGGACCCCCCCAACCCCCAGAGCTGCCAGCTCCTTCAGCCTCTTCTAAACTGCCTGTTTGGTGCCTGGGGCAGATGCCCTGCTCAGGGAAGCCAAGGTTACATGCAGAGCTCTGCTTTCTTCTTTTTTATTAAAAAAAAATAAACCCTGCTGTACTAGCTGCAGGGAAAAGCTTGGGAACGTGAACTCTCCTGGCTCCAAAAAAACAAACAGAAAAAGCCCACAAGGCAAACTTCAGAGAGGCCCAACCATTGTGCTTATTTTGAAATGCTGGGGAGGTTTGTGGGAGGCAGGACAGAGCCTGGCTCTTGGCTGCCGGGTCAGCCCAAGCCCCACCAGGGCTCTCCCAGCACCGAGGCGGCCGGAGCCCCTGGCTCTCCCCTGGGCACAGCCCGTGGTGTTTGCTGTGTGCAGGGCAAGTGATGAGCTAAAGCATCTCCTGATTTCTCCTAAATAATATCCTGAAGCCCAGAGCTCCCAAATTCCTGCCCCAGCATCAGGTTTGGGGAAGGATGGGCCATGGTTCTCCCGCAGATCCAGGAGAGTGGGGACAGTGGTTGCATCTACCAGGCTCTGGGGTTTGGTGTGTGTGTTGTATGTGCCAAAAATTTGGGTTTCACACCTGGCTCAAACCTGAAATGGCAACACTGAGAAACCCACCTGGGACTGCAGAACAACAGAGTTTGGTAGTTAATATTTAAATATGATTCACACTGCCAGTATATGTCTTCTTTCTGCCCTGCTTAGCCCAAGGTGTCTGGAAGTGGGGGAAAAGCAAGCAGAGACCCAGCACAAGCCACTTCCCCTCCCTCTGCACCCAGGCAGTTCAGGTCCAGGATCCCTCCTACCCCTGAGCTTCGGGCTTACCCCTTCCTTACCCGCCTGCTCCACTCCCCGGGTCTCTCCCGTTCATCCAGGCCTTCCCCCCGCTGGGGTCTGGGTCCAAGATCCCACCCTGAGCATCTCTCCTGTGACAAAGGTCACTCTGCCTTCTCTGCCCTCCCAAAATCTTCTCTAGCAGATGTGGGGCTCTTCCATCTCATCTGTGGGGTTTTGCCACGCAAATCCCCTTATTTCTCCTGAGGAACTGGGATTCCCGTGACTTGTAGGGAGAGCTGGGAGAGGTAGCTCTACAGCTGTGGACATCCCAGAGGTTATTCCCCTGGAAAAGACAACGGTGTTCCCTGCTCCTCTCTGGCATACACGAGGGTGAAGCTGGCACAAGGAAAAATTTATCCACCGTTTTTTTCCCACCCGGCTCTGGAGCTGATGTCCCCTGTTGGCGACGTGGGTGACAGCCCCAGGCAGGGAAGAGGGAGGAGGTGTGTGGAGGGTCCCTGTGTGGGGAGAGGTGTGAGGCAGAGCAGCACTATGGGGGGGGTGTGTGTCTCTGCTCTGCACCCCCAGACCCTGCTGGGCTACCGCGGGCTGCGCTGCGCTCCCCTGCGCGGGGCTGCAGCACCCTCGTGTGGCTGCGAGCACCCGCTGCGGGGGGACCCTGCTCCCCCCCGCC